AATCACTGGTAATCTTTGGGAATCACTGGTAATCTTTGGGCATCACTGGTAATCTGTGGTAATCAATGGCAATCTTTGGTAATCTTTTGTCAGTGGTAATCTTCGGAAACCCTTGGTAATCATAGGTAATCTTCGGTCATCTTCGGTAATCTTTGGTAATCCTTGGTAATCATCACTTTTTGGTAATCAGGTGTACACGATTTTTTCGAGTTGGGCACCCCTCGGGCGCAACAGTGTTGGCGATGCGAGAAAACAATAACCCGCGCCGGCCGCAAGTTGCAAGCATATGCTGTTGGGGGGTGGCCGCTGCTGGCTCTCATGCCTCGCCTCGATGGGTCGTTCTGTCCCGTCGTGTCGCGTCCACGCCGACGACGATCTTTTTGAGGGCGGTGGACCCGCGCCGGGCTGGGCCGGGCCGGGCCGGGCCGGGCCGGGCCGGGCCGGGCCGTCGCGTGCGTGTTGGCGAGGTGCCCTGCTCCCCGCGGGGCCGGCGGGGCCGCCGCCATGCCCGCAGCCGCCGTCCGCGGCGTCCGGCCCCGCGGGCCTCCTGGGCAGTCCGCCGTCGCGGCGTCCCGGCGGAGGGTCACGTAGGCCGCGGTGGTGCTGGGCAGGGCCGCGGGCGGCGCGCGCACGCCCCTCGGGCACGCCCACCTCGGGCACGCCCACCTCGGCGCCATGGAGGAGCGGGGCGGCGGCGGCCGCCTCTTCGGCCGCTCCATGTGGAGCAACATGCGCATCGGGGGCTTCTCCCTGGAGCGGGGCGGCAGCGGCGGTGACTCTGTGTCTGCCACGCCCGCGCGCCTTATCCTGCCCGTGAAGCACGCCAAGACGACGGGCGGCCTCCCGGACATCCTGGAGCATCCGGCCGGCGGCGGGGCCGCGCGCGCCCACCGCGGCCTGCTGCCCCAGTGCCTCGTGCAGCGCTACCGCCGGCCGCCCCGCGAGCAGCCGCCTCCGCGACCCGCCCGCGACCGCGCGAGCTCCGTGTGCTCGTCGTACACGACGTCCTCGTCCAGGCTGTCCCGGTCGCCGTCACCGCTGTCGTCGTCGTACTACTCGTCGCTGTCCGGCACGGCGCGCGGGGCCAGCAGCGGCAGCAGCAGCAGCACCGCGCGCCGCTCGGTGCTGTCGCCGACCCCCGCGCCCGAGCCGCAGCCGCGGCGGGTCTTCCCCCAGGAGCCGACCTTCGCCGACCTGGATGGCATTGAAGGTGCGCCGCGTGCACCTAGGCACCCGGCCCGGGGACCCAAGGGGAAATAGGCTGAAAAGAAGTATGCTTTTACTATCAACTTTGCGAACTCTGGTTGACGTCCATCGTTGACGTTTCTCGAATTCTATCATCGTATGGAAGTTCGTCAACGGAATTCGTCGTCGCAAGTGTGTAAATTTTGCCGAAGTTCATTAGAAGTCGCAGCCTATTCCCCCTTGTACGCGGCCCCGGGTGTGGGTGGGGTGCCGGTTGCCGGTCGGGCTAAGGCGCTTGTCGCTCACACTGTCACTCGCACACTAGGCAAGGACGACTCGCCGGTGGTGTTCGACGTGAACCTGAGCTTCGACCTGGGCTCGCCGCCGTCCAGCATCTGCGGGTCGTCGCCGCGGCGCGGGGCGCGGGCCATGTCAGAGGCGCCGCCGACGAGCACGCGCGTCCGCCAGCGGCTGGTGCCCATGGCGGCGCACCTGGACCAGCAGACGGCGTCGGCCTTCCTCACGAGCCGCATCGCCAGCTTCCTCCAGCGCACCGACCACGTCATGCACGAGTGGAAGCGGCTCGGCAGGAAGGACCCCGACGAGGAGCTTCGCGAGCTGTCACTCGCAGGTGTGGTGTTCGCGGGACTCGGGTCGGGGGCGGGTGGACGAGCGAGCGCTTGGACGAGGTGGTGATGATGCTCTTGTTGTTGGTCCCGGCGCGCAGGCGGACCCCCGGGGCTGCCCCGCAGCCGCAGCGCGGCCTCCATCATGACGAAGGCCGTCAAGTACTACCGGCAGCAGAACGTCGGCTCCAGCAGCCGCTGTTCCAGTCGCGGCTCCAGCATGGTCCGCTCGCCGTCCGTGTCCAGGGACGACGCCACCCTCTCCGAGCTCGACGAGGTGCGGTGTGACACGTCGAGAAGGGTCCGGTGGGGGCCCAGGGGACGCGGGTTGGGCTGACGGCGCCACGCCTCGCCGCCCGCGAACAACACGCTGGGGGGCGCCGGGCGGGACCGCCGCCGGGCCGGGCTGAGCGGCGCGTCGCGACGCCCTCTTGAGAGATGGCGGGCGTGGCGTGGCGATCCCCCCTTCCTCTCTCCCGCGTGTCAGCTCCTCCTGTACCCTTTTTATTTATTCGCCTTCTCTCTCTCCCTCCCTCCCTCCCCTCTCCTCTCTTATTCCTCCTCATTGCCTCCCGCTTCGCTGTGACATTCTGGCAACAAGCATGGCCTGTTGCGCCGGTCCTCTTCGCTCTGCTCTGATCGTCTGCCTGGCCCCATCTGTCTGGCCATCAGAGTGATCCCCCACCCCCGCCGCCCCGCCCCGCCCTCACCTGCAGCCCCGTTATCCGCGGCCGATGCTCCTGAGTGAGTGGGTGCCACTGGGCGCTCCCCACCGAGTGCCGCACCAGCTCACAGCAGCGGGGTGCGCCCCAGAGGAGGGACGGGGGTATGGGGCTGGACAGAAGCCCGCACAAGAGTGCGCGAGTCCGGAAACTGCCTTGCCTTTTTGTTGCTGTTGGTTGTGTGTGTGTGTTTTGTGTGTCGCATGTCGCTAGCACCCGATCATTTTGTGTGCCACCTAGGCTTGTCTTTTTGACTCGTCCGTCAGAAGGAATGATTCTACCACCAGATGCCCCTCCCCCCCTCTTCGGTCCAAAGATAGGGCTATTGTCAATGGGTTTGACGTGCGTTTGGCACGAGGCCCAACGTGTCGCGACCCCCCCTCCCCCCGCCTCTCCCTTTTCAGCCTGCTCCTTGCGTGCCCTCCTCCCTTCTTGCCCCTCCTTTCTTCCTTTGTGACAGGGGAGAGAATCTGGCTGCGGTGGCGGCGGCGGTGCATCGCATCGGCGGGGGAGGGGGCGCAACCGACGTGAGTGAGAAAGAAAAGTGAAGGGCTCGGACAATGGGATTGGGTTCTGGCGCTTTTAATTGGCTACATCTCTGCGAGTGAGTGGATCGGCTGTCCCCCATGAGTCCGTGCCGCCGTCTGGCGCCGTCTATACAAACCAGCAGCCATCTGCCCGCCCGCCCGTTTGCCCGACTTCGCCTGCTTAGCAGCCGTCGCGGCTGTTTTAGGCCCCAACTTTACAACTGGGTGGAGCGTGGCCACATTGTGCTCACGCCCCCCAAGGCAGAGCGCCGCGCCGTTAAAAGCAGCGCTAACTCATGTCGTCGCGCTGGCCGGCATCCGGGCCGAGCGGGGCCGCGAGCGCACAATGATATTCCGACTCGCCGCCTCGTGCTGCGACTGGCAAGTCGTCGTTTAAAGCGAGCCCGTCGTCGCTCACTTTGCTGTGTGGCCGTTGCTTACGTACGTCCGAGATTGCTTTGCTTCCCAGCCAGCAGCGGGGTGTGTTGTGCTTCTGCCGGCCAAGGTCGCGGCGTGGCGGTGCGGGCCGCGGCGTCGCGTAGCGTGTGATATGAAGCATATGCGAGCCGGCCGCCCCCGCCGCCGCGGCGCCTGCCGCCTGCTGCCCCAGAAACACGTCGGTCGTTTTGCCAGACGTCCGGTTAGTGCGTGTGTGTGTGTGTGGTTGAAACGCCGGCCCGGCCGCTATATCGAAAGGCCGATCCTAAACCAAACGCAACACGCGCTAACCACGTTGCCGGACGATAAGTTGCGCGAGTCGATAATCCAAAATTGTTTAAAAAACAAAGAAAAGAAAGAAAAGGGGCATCGAGTCACTAAAGTTCTGTGCTGCCCGGCAGCTCTTAGCGGCTGTAGAGACCACGTGAACTCGATAGAGGGGATCCAAATGGGGATTGCCCAGATAGTACATCCGTTTTTCTCTGATTTATTGGGTAGGTCACGCAGGCTCAGCGCCTGCGAGACTCGGGGTAGGCCACCCCGCTGTACACATATGCACGGCAGGGAAGATGTTGCCTACCTATCAGGCACTATGGAAGCTTGAGTTAGCTAAACTTGGTTGATTCGATTTGGGCAAATGACGGAGGTACTTTCAGAACGATGCCTTACGGGGAACCAAAAGGATTGGAGTCCTCGGGGGTGATATTTGTACCCTCCTGAGGTCTCCATGGACTCCAATGACCGCCACCGCCGTCAAGGTCCTTTTGGGACCCCACAGTGTTTCTGGACAGACCTTTCTGTCCCGCCCCGCCCGCATACCGCGCTGACGTTGTTGTGCCCTCCCTGACCAACCGCAATGGGTCGTATGCGAGCCCCCCC